TACATTTTGGGCTTTTTGATTGCACAATAGAGACGACAGAGATAATCAGGAGCTAATCTGAAGTTTTGCGGCCAATTAAAAATAGCTTAATACCCCGTCCGGGGTGGTTCTTGATGCTTAATTTCTACCTCAGATGGATTCGGTTTTCTTAATTTGGTGGGCAATTAAATGGCCATAAAAATTTTATAGACTTGGACTGAAGGAGCAACCAGAGCGTGTATCTCGAATAATAGGTTTTCCTTGAATTTTCCCAATAGGCATTTAAAGGAAAAAAGAAAAAAATACATTGTTGTAAGCCATAAGCTACGAGGTGAACTACAACATAATCAACTCTTATTTAAAGATACTTTAAGGGTGTATTCACACCAGGAAAGTCCGATAGTTCACTTGCTTTGGTCCGGACCAAATAAATTTTTTTTTTTTTTTTGGTACGGTTCGCTTTCACACTGCTCTTTTTGCAAGTGAACCAAAATTTGTAAACCAAACCACACGTTTGCTAAGGTCGTCCATTCATTGGACAAGGATTCTCAAGGGAAATCAGGAAGTGCAAAAAAGGCTCAGCATGGAGATATTTACATATATTTCGTACTGCAATATTTTTTCTTTTACTAATTTTGTGTTAATTCTGTACAAACGCAATATGAAGAAACTAATGAGTATCATATGATACAATGTCATCTATACTAACAAGTGCTGTCAATGTTAACGCTTGCGATTAAGTTTGTCCAGTTTAACATAAATTAACGCATCATCATCCTTGTATTGTAACTATCCTTACATTAATAATAATAATAATAATTCATTACATTTATATAGAATTTTTCTCGGCGCTCGCTTTAAGGGGGAAACTCGTCAACCACCACCAAAAGGTGGTGAACTGCAAATGCTTTATGAACTGCAAATTATTATTATTTTTTTTTCATCTTTGCGCGATTAGACATTCACACACGACGCGCAGAAAGACGTGCAGAAAGACGCGCAATATTATATTATATATTATATATTCTCTTTCGACGCAGTGCTTTCTTGCAATTGGGTCGGTTCATGTTCACACCGTAAACGAACCGTACCAGAGTTCGTTTGGAACCGTACCGAGACCACCTCTTCAGCTGGGTCTCGGTTCAGTTGTTTGGTCCGCACCCGAGTTCGATTGCTGTATTCACACCTGCCCAAAAGGTCCGCACCAAGGGGGCAAACGAACTAGAGTTCGATTCAATCGAACCAAACAAGGCAGGTGTGAATACACCCTAAAAATACTATGTGAACTTTGCTGAGGGAAAGAACTACAATCCCTTGAATCACTTCAAATGAGATAATTGAATTTAAAAAGATGGTGAAGAAAACCCCCAATTCATTTAAAGTTGTTGATCATATCTATAGAAACAATATACTTTAAGTTTATTGCAAGATATACATCATTTAAAGTATTTTAAACGCATCGCTAGACCGACTCTGTTATGTAATTTGCAGTCCATCATGGGAGTGGGCGGAGCTAAACAGCTATTTTGGTGCAACTTGCTCGCTGTGACTCTGATTGAATGTTCTGTAAAGTATTATTATAGGTAATTTATTTATTTTATGGTAATTTATGTTTTTCACCACTGATTCAGTCTCACAGACAGTAACTCTTCAAACATTTGCACATACAAATAATTCTAAAATTGTACTTTTCAGCAAAATACGGCTTACTACGGTAATAAAAACATTTCTAAATAAAAATCTGTACATTTTTTTTAGTTTTTTTGTCTATACAAATTCTATTTCCAAACTCCCCACAATATAACGGTCAACTAATTTATCGAAAGCCATTTGTTTTCAAGAAAAAAAAACTTTCACGTTTTTCAAATCTTTTTTTGACTACAATTTTATTTTAGCTTCAGTTTCTAAAGCGCTAAACAATTATTCTAAAAAATAAGTTGAAATAAAGTGAACGGATAACTTCAACAAAAGCATACCATTGATTAATAACCTCAAAATTCATAGTAGGCCTGTCTTTAAAGTTTAATAAGTAGTTATTGTAGTTATGGAGAACATTAATGTAGTTTTAACTTATGGAACCTGAATGTTACACTATAAGCAACTACCTAGATACGCCCTAGCAACCACCTAGCAAAACCCCTGCCAACACCCTAGTGACCACATGTTCTAAAACCCCCTCAGAACACCTTAGCGACAGCGATACGGCCGAGTCGACATTATATTACGGTGATGAATCTGCAGCGCCGCTAACTAGAGCCATTTCCCACTTTACCCTTGAACGCCTCGTATCCTGAGAGGAAGTCTAAATTGAAGGGTTTCTTTAAAGGATACACACGGGATCTGTAAACCAGCTTGAAGAACAGAGAGAAGAAAGTTAATAGTGTCTCCAGTGAGCGAACACAACAGATGCTCCACATATGCCGGACAGACACACAACACCTCGAGCCCAAACCACAGAGATCATCTATCTCACTGACTGCCTGCTTGTGTGCGCGACTGTGAACCGCTCACTGTTACTCTTATTACCCACAACTGGGAACCAACACCTCATTTAATGGGGTAAAACTAATATTTTGTCAGGCGCATGTGTAGCTCCAGCTTGGAAACAGTCATGTCTGTGAAATAACCCCTACTTTTCAATGGAAAGTCTACATTTTCACTCTTTCCATTACAACAATTAAGTGTACTGTGGGTTTAAGAAGTGATACGACAATCAATTCCCAACAAAATGGACATTTCAGGTATTTAATTTGAACTTGAGTAAACCTAGTAAAACAGATGTAGCCATTATTTTCACTGCAGAGGCGCAGGTTTGTCGTACAAAATCGCTTATATTCGTCAATAATGATACATTTGTATTATTTAAAAATGGTTCATATTGTGTATAGTATGTGTAGGTCTTAAAAGCTGCCGTTTTTGTGGTTTCTAAAGCCCTAGAGGTGGCAAACAGAACTGCAATGGGTTTGAGCAGCCAGACAAATCAATATTGGAAAGTGTAAGTTGAATGTCACTGGTGATACACCTAAAATATGATATATAATGCTGACAATAAATCGATAAACAGTAATGGCCAAAAGTGATGTCCACAGGGGATGTTTGTTTTTATTGACCTTACAAGTTCAATTAAAGTTAGGGCTGTCAAACGATTAATCCCATCCAAAATAAAAGTTTGTGTTTATATATTATATGAGGGTGCACTGTGTAAAATTATTATATATATATGAATATGAATATATATATATATATATATATATATATATGAATACACAGACATGCTTCAATATATTTAAGAAATATTTTCATGTATATATTGTATATAGATTTATGTATAATTTATATTATATATAAATATAAATATTTTATATATAAATAACATTTTTTTCTTAAATATACAAGCATGTGTGAGTATTTAAATATATATATAAGCTATTTATACACAGTGGAGCCTCATGTATTATATAAACACAAACTTTTATTTTGGATGCGATTAATCGCGATTAATCGTTCGACAGCCCTAATTAAAGTACAAAAATATGAGGATTTTCCAAACTTTAAATCGAACTTGTTTTTTTTGTGTGTGTTGTTTTATATTTTAAATATGAGGCTAAACTTGGTTAAGTTGCTTATCTGACAACATTATTTTGGCAAAAAAGTCAAACTACAGCTGCAGGTTTTTTTTTCACTATGCAAATAAATAAATATCAAAAGGCTCACAGGGAAAAAAGCATAGATTGACCGCAGCATAGTTATTAATATTTAGTTGGTTCTCTCATTTTACATTACATGCGTTCATAATTTGTGTGTATGACAGCCTGGCCAAAATGTATGTCCGCACAGTTTCAATGCATCACAAATAAATCAATTGACTTCAAGCTCTAGCGACCAAAAACTATTTTCTTTTTTTATTATTATTTATTTAACCAGTAAGGTCTAAAATATCTCTTCTACCAGGGAGTCCTGCAAGCAGAAAACATAAAAGCAGGCTTGCAAATTTGAAATTATATTTTAATGAAGGGTGACAATGTAAATTTTCCTAGACTGAACGCCACTTTTGGCCACAAACTCAGTATTTTGCTTTTGCATTTAGCATTTGGCATTTGCTTTAGAATAATTTAAAGAAGATGAATTTCCCATTGCCCTGTGAAAGCTGTACCACTTTTTCCACTTTTATTAAATTAACATGTAAATGTAACAATATGAAAAAGAACGAGTGCAAAAGGTGCAGTATAATTCACAGACTACATTTTACACTTGTGTTTATGCAAGTTTTCAGATAAGAAACAAGTCTAAAAACTCTTTCAGACAGTGAAAAGCTGTAAAGCACTTCTTAGCTAGTTTTTCAGGAGGATAAAAAAGGTATATTGGTGGCGTCTTTGGCACTTTAATCTTAATTAATAACAATATTGAGTTTATGCAAATCAAATCGGTGCAGATTTAGTGCAAATACTGGACTCAGGAGTCATCAGGTTTTAGGCTATATAAAATACAGTGCATTGCACAGAATCTGCACATATCTGGCTTACTTGAACACACACGTCACTACGCAACTAATAATGGTGTGCTTATTAATTTGCATTGAAGCAATAGTGAAGATTAAAAGCATTTGGCTAACAGAAGAAAACATTTTTATTTTTCAACATCATATTTTTTTTCCATGTTCTTTGTACCATAGATCTGTCCATCTAAAACACGAAGAAGAGATTCAAGGGAAAATATTGCTGGATGACATGATTTTGTTTGAATAAGAATTGAATGAAAGCTATGAAATCCTTTAAAATATACAAAATAAGCTGTGACGTAGTGTTTTTATTTCTTTCTCCTCCCCCTACCCCACCTTTTTTTGTCTAGAACCCAAATCAAACCCTGATTTTTTTCAATATTCTGTCATTTAACATTGATTATTCAATTATCGTGATGATAATGCTAATATCCAATATCCCAGCTGTAATCACTGACACCTCATCTGTGGTGTGCGGGTCAGAAACGGGCTAGCCGTCTGGAACATGAGACGCGTCACTCACTTCCCGTGAAGGCGATCCACCTGGCGTATTTGGTGGCTTCCCGCCGCCAGTGCGAGGCCACGAGCAGGCCACAGGTGACGGTGAGGGAGATGATGCCCATGATGATGAAGAAGAGCGTGGTGACCCACTCCGGGGGCAGTCGGGGGGGGATGCAGGTTCGGTCCCGGCCGTGGATCGTCTGACACTGACGCACCAGCCCCACCGTAAGAGCTCCTGCAATCACACACACAATGTCAATCACGAGCACATTCAACCATGAAGATCACTCTTTATCAGGGTGTTTAGTAGTGCTGGGCGGTATACTGGTTCATAGAGAAATACCAGTGTTTATTTTTGTAATGATATGAATTTGTAATATGTAATACTGGCGTTTGTCGCTTAAATAACGTTAGGAACACGGTTACTAAGCATGAAAGTGGAGATGGATTGGTTAAAACTATGATAGATAGCTGTCAAATTATGTTACAGTGTTTCCCATACATTGGTTCACAATATCAACACTGCCTTTTGGAAAATCTATACGTGGTTGGGATTGATGTCGTTGAATAAACACGAGCACTGCACGTTTCAAAGTCAAAACGCGGCACGGTTGTTTTTATGTGAATGTATCTGAAGTGAACTGACGGACTTTAGAAAAGTTTCGAAGTTATTTTCATTGAATCTTTCATGATACAGCAGCGTTTAGGAGCGCTGCACTGCTTTGTATACAGCTGTAACCGGGGAAACCGCTTTGTGTACAGCCGTTACCGGGGAAACCGCTGTTTCTGCTGCTCCTAAATCGTCTCTTTGTTAACAGACTTAGTGCAAACCTGTATTAATATTAGTGTGGATTTTGTCGTCAATATTCACTCATGACAGTGAAATAGGGCATTCTAACGCTGCCTTCACACTGGCAGTGGAAAGCAGCTCCGTAATACGCAATACGTTCCCAACGGACGTCGTACTACACAGTGAAAAGTGTCGGACGCGGGTAGAACAAAAATGGCGGAGAGATTAAAGTTTGATTCTGTCAGTTCTGTATGATCTCTCTGATGAGGGTTATGCTGCGTGAGGAAAGTTGCTCAGGACGTTGACATGTCAGGTCGGCTAAAAAATGTGATATAGTGGTCAATAGTTCAATGTCTACCTTCAATTTAATTAGGGATGTCCCGATCCGATCCACGGCATCGGTATCGCGCCGATACCGGCCCAGAACGCTAGATCGGAGATCGGAGGGGAGAAAAAAATATGAGCGATATCCAGTTTAGCGGCGCAGCCTGTCACGTGATGATTGTTGTGTTTAAGCGCAGCGGCGCAGAGAATCACTCTCGCTTTTGCGCACGGATTCTAATGTAATCGGATGATTCCACAAAAGCTGCATTTCAGTCTTTTCAGAAATTCATTGGCTATCAGAAAATAGCGTCATTTCATTCTCTATTGCAACTGGATAGATAAACTGTCACTCAAAGAGAGAGCGAAACTGGCGCGCGTAAAGTTTGAAGCGAAATTTACGCGCGTGACGCGCGTCAGAATCAAAATCCGTTGGCGGTCATTGTTTTTATGTCGACCGAGCATTCATCAAGAGAGTTACCGCTCTGTATTTACTCTGGATAGCAGAACAGCGGCGTGGGGATCATCGTCGCCGTATATTTGTGTCCACCGGACCCTTCGGAGCCGAACCGTTTGGCGAGTTTCACCATTTGCTCGCTCCAGGAGCTGCGCTGGATGACGGCCGCTGTCAGCGGTACTTCCGCCTGTCACGCGCCCAGTTTGATGACCTGTTGTCCCGCATCTGAGCGAGGATCACCCTCGCCCGGCCCCTCATCCATCTAATCTAGCTGTCATTTATTTTTGTTTTGATAATAAATAGAGCCAGCCTTCAAAAGTTATTAACCTGTCCTGTGATTTTTTTCTCTCTCTCACGTCCAGACACGAATGTATGCACACATGTTGATATATATATAGCGCGCTATGTATGTTATGCGCGCAGTATGTCTCGCTCTAGATTCCGGGAGATTTGAACTAATTTGCGGGCATCAGGGAGGCTATCAATATGCGGGAGACTCCCGGAACTTCCGGGAGACTTGGGATGTCTGTCTTTACAACATAATACTATTTCTAGATATGGAATGAATAACATTCAATACAAAATGAACATGTCTCCATATAGAAATAATGTTTTAAGTGATGAAACATTTGCTTTGTTGTGCATAATCCCACCATGCATTTAGTCATATTAACAAAATAATTTATTGAAGCATCCAGACACTTCACCACGTGAGCAAGCAGCTAGGCTCCTGATTGGTTAACGCGGCGCGAATTCACGCCAAAGTTCAGATTTTTCAACTCGGGCGGCAGACGCGAATTCGCGTCAAACGCGTGAATGCACAACGCTCAATTCGCGCCATTCGCGCCAACTTGACGCGCGAATGAGGCGTATTCGCGTCTTCCGCGCCGCGCTCCACGCCTCATTCGCGCCGCAGGAATTTTTCTTGCATTGACTTAACATTGAAATCATTCGCGCCTGACGCCCTATTCGCGTCCGGTGTGAACGTAGCATGTGCGTCGAAGTTGTGATAGCGCTGTCGGCTAACGCGAAATGCTACTATTTACATTCCATGGATGTTTATTCATATATACAATTGTTTTGGACTAAAAACTTCTTCAAATTGGATTGTATGGACGCTTTACAGTGAAACCAAACCATTTTTGTTGGAATGTGGACTAACAGATGGCTAATTGGTGAGTTTCTTCCAGTTTGTGTTGGTTTGTTTTGGCTGTTGGTGGTCTGACAAAGAGACAGATTGTGCCCGCTGTGTTGATTGTATCTTAAAATGGTTTACGTCGTTCGAATCACGAGTTTCTCAGCTTTCCAAAGATATGTATTATGTTTACTTTTGTGTTTGTTTTGTTTTGTCTTTCACAAAGTTAAACCTATAAACCACCCTGTGGGCCGTATACGGCACGTCGGACCACGAAAAAAAAAAAATATCGGACTAATATCGGTATCGGCAAAAGCCAAAGGTGCGGCATCGGTATCGGTATCGGAAGTGAAAAAGTGGTATCGGGACATCCCTAAATTTAATTGTATTAACTGCCCTTATAAACGTTAGAAAGTCATGAAAATAAAAAATGACATGACAATTTATCGTTATAAAATCATTATTTATTTTATTAAAAGTTAATAATTCAGGTTTGTTTATCAGTACCATAGCAACGCTCAACTTCCGCTGGAATTGTCGGATAGGAACCGTCCGTAGCTTTTCGCACGAGTTCAAATTTTTGAACGCATCCGGGTGACCAACGGACACGATTTTCTACGCACCGCACTCGGTCGGACCCGTTTCGGTCCCATTCGCATGCGGTCTGCGAATCTCCATAGGAAATGAATGACTTCCGGTCGTTTCGCAGCCGCATCTGAGCTGATTTCAACTGCCAGTGTGAAGGCGGCGTAAGTCAATCTACTGCAGTATTTCCTCTCTTAATCAGCAGAAAATGTGGCTAACAACCAGTCATGCTTGAAAAAATACCGCCATTTACCGTGGATGTGTTAAAATGTGGATTTTTGGTTATACCCCCAGCACTAGTGCTTAGCTAGGGACTAAACTATAAATCGGCACACGAGAGAAATACAACAGGAACATATCCATCGAGAGTACAAAAGTTCAAAGATTGTTTTGTGCAGAAAAACACACACTGCACCAGTCAAGGAGACGCAGACCAACGAGGCGGTGCTCAAGCACACGGCACTTTCAAGGCTGACATTTACATGAATTTATAATACATTTCACTGCCTGAAGTGCTGAAAAGCGCTGAACGCACATTGTTGTCTGGACTAGTACTTAAATAAGCAGAACAACTATAGTATACGTCGGTATCGTTCAAATTTTAGTACCACAGTTTAAGTGCTGGTATACTATGCAACCCTACATTACACTCGAGATCTGTCTTCCCAGCTGGCCAGATCCTTACGGCAATACACCAGCTTTACAGCCAATCACACACAGATTAACCTGAGAGAGACTGTGTTAACCTGTAGGCTTAGCCACCCAATCCAGTTAAGACCATACGCCAGGTTTAATGTGTTGGGACCAGAAATCCCACTATAAAAATAATCTGTATCCAAAGGATTATCACCATGAACTATTTTTTAGGGATGTACCGAAATTTCACCCACCAAAAATTAACAGTTTATCGGAAAATTGTCGTTTTTTTAGGCCGAAAGGAAAAAATAACAATAAAAATGCAGATATTTATACTCTAAATTTTAATATAGGCCTATTTTCTGTCCAATTTTACTATATTTTTTTTACTAAAATACAGATTTATTAACTTCTTGTATTTAATAAAAAAAGTATAATAATAACAGTTATACAAAAAAAATATAAATATATATATCATGCCTACCTATATTTATATACATCATTCCAGTTGTGCATGTAGATGTGATAGCTTTTTTATATAGCCAATATTAACATCTCAATTTCTCAACAATCTCATGATTGTAGGGGCAATATATTGCCAAAGACCGATCAACCAGGGAGAGTCCCAGCTGACGTCACACTGACCCAACACCAACAACCGCTGCTGGGTTTTGGTGAATCAGTGCGTTAACCCAGTTTTCGTAGACTGAATATTCAATGGACTCCTTTAACATCTCCAGGTTAGAAGTCGTCAGTCCACGGGTAACTTCTATAGTGGTGAAAGAGAGGCTCCACTTGCTCCAACAGCAACAGACACAAACCCTGATACCGTTCCCATGACTTTCTAAAAGGAGAAAAACTATCTAGAGAAGGATTGACTACGGAGTCAGAAGTAGAGAGAGAGGGAGAAGGAAAAAAAGCCAAATTTGCCCTCGCTAGTCTGTAAAAGGGGTCCATTGGTGTTTGTCGAGTCTGCGTTAATGTCAACAGTGGGTTTTAATTAATTCACAGTTTTATATTAAGAGATATTCATTTTATATTCAACGCAAGTTTGCAGTACTATCAGTATTATAAATACATTTTTAAACTCAAACTGTTTGAGCAATCGGTTTCCCCAATTTATACCAGTTCCCTTCCATGGTAACTGGTCAAACAACTGAGCAGAAATAATTGTGAATTGTGATTTTGTAGCATTTTGGGTAGTGAGGAAAAAGCAGAAAGCACATATACACCTTGGCCTTTGGGAATGAAACAGCCCTGCATCATCACACACCCTTCACCATACCCTTTTATTTCAGTTAACTTTTGATT